TTGCAGCGGAAGGAAGTGGCCGCGTGCCGCTTCGGATAGGGTTGTCAGCGCGGCCTTTGCCGCTAGGCGGGTCAGGCATTCGCCAATTGCTATTGGCCTAGCCCCCCCTTCTGGTTTGGTCAGAGCAATCAGGCGGGATGAGGTGAGCAGTTCCGCGACTGCCCGTGGCAAATTTCCTTTCAGAATCGTGTTCACCAAGGCGTGCAGATGGGTGCAAACGGCTGCATTAGTCACTGACGCGTCGCGTAGGTGTTCGAACGTCATTCCGCTTGGCCCGGCGCCCACGCCATTCTCGCATCGGCTCAGCAGCTTCGAAAAATCCGCGAGTGCAATTTCGAGCGTGGTTGGTTCGACGATGACTGGCCACGTCAGTGGGTCAGGGTCGGCCGGTGGGTGCTTGCGTCGCAGTTCGGCCAGAATCTCTGGGCTGGGTATACAGACTGGCGTTGAATCGAGCGCCATCACTGCTCGGCACAAGCTCCCCTTTTTCGCCAGTCCCTCTGCTCTGCTGATGATCCCCAAGTCGTCAGGTTGATGACGTGGCGGGGGAGGTGTGTTGACCGCCTCAACCGCGTCCAAGTACAGTTGATGCCATTCGCCGCGCTGAAATGCCCGTAGACGCGCCTTGATTTTCGACCAGGGCGCTTTGGCGAACCTTGTCGAAGTGTAAGACGGGGGAGGAAGAGTAGTAACCGCCAGCCTGCGATGGAATCAGGGTTCCGCGCGAGGTGTAACAGGGGCGTCAGCAGCACGAGCGAGAAAATCTCGAACAAATTTGGCGGTAGCCGTTGTAACAGCATGGGCTGACGACTGTTGCATAGAGGCGAGATGTCCCAGTTCGCGACCTCCACAAATTTCTCTGCCTGTGTCGCCAGCTCCTCTGGCGAAAAATATCGCGGGTTTTGCAGATGCCGAGCCGCATTCGCCTGACTGCTTGCGGTTCAATTCACACGCCCGCGCCTCGGAGCAGGGGTGGGGTGTCTGGTTGGGATTGTGGCCGTCCGATCCCCATCCTGCGGCCCTCGTCCATTGCTTGGTTGCCCAGCCGCTTCCCCTTGGTTTCTCGTTCTTTCTCTTCCCGACTGCTCTCTCTCCTCAACCTCGTCTTCTCCATCGCTGCTGCTGCTATCAGCGCGTGGCTCCTCCCTATAAGAGGGGTCATTTCGTTCCTCTTCTTCAGTATCAAGTAGTGTTAAAGCCCGTCGCCTTGCAGACTGGAACGCATTCTCCGGTCCGCCCTCTACCCCGTTTCGTCCCTGCCGGCCTGCTCCTTGTCGCCTACCGCCTCGCAATGGTGATTGCTGGCGAGTCGTGGCCATCGCCATCGCACGCTGCCGCTGTGTCAGCAGCGAGCGGAAGGTCCCCGCCTGTGTCTGCCTCGCGTTCCGCTGCTCCGAAGCCGCCAGTCCCACCTGCCCTGAAGCCGCCCGTCCCACCTGCGCCCCTTGTCGCTGGTGCCTCTCTGCCCCCGCACCCACTCCCCGTGGAGGGCGCGGCTCTGCCGTCGCCGCTGCCTGTTCCGTCTGTCCTTGCCACTGACTCGGTCCCTGAAGCTCCTGCACCTGGTGCTCCTGCGGTTCCGTCGGCTGTCCCTGCGAGCATTGCGGCCCCGCCTGCTGTGGCCGACCCTGCTGTTGCCCCGCCTGTCCCTGGGGTCCCTGGACCGGAACCCGCCGTTGTTGAGCCTGTTGCGCCTGCCGCGGATGTTGCTTCGTCTCTCTCTCTCTCTCTCTCTCTCTCTCTCTCTCTCTCTCTCTCTCTCTCTCTCTCTCTCTCTCTCTCTCTCTCTCTCTCAAGCGGTCCTTCATTGATAGGGTCAGAAAGGTACAAGCATGGCATGAGTAAAGACGAGGCCATTCGTCTACACTAGACATGCATGCAATCATGGCACTGCAAGGTATACAGTAGGTATAGGCGATCGCTACTCTCGACAAATCAGACCCACTACCCTCGAGCCAGCCCATCCTAATCACCTGCCCTCCTTGCAACCCTTTCCGCTGTCCTTCCTATTCAGCTGCCCTCTTGTCCAGCCCATGCTGGCCTACTCCCTCATTGCCCCCTCCATCTCGTCCTCTAGCACCTGCCAAAGGTCGCCAAAGCTAGGCTCCCATGGGTCCGTGGGTCCCTGGGGGAAGGCCGCCTCGGCAGCTCGGTTCAACTTGGAGAGGAAAGACACTGCCTGGCTGCGCTGGAGCATTATGGACCACCGCTGCCTGTAATGTGCTGTGAGCCGTGCAGCCGTGGTGGTTAGTTTGCCTTGGCGGTACTTCTTCTTTGCTGTCGAGGTTGCTAGCATCCGCAAAAACTGCACCGTATCAGCTGCCAAAGGCCCCGTATGTCTCAACCGCCAACCCTAAAAACCCAACATAGTCCGGTCGGCCCTCGTAGAGCCTATGTTTGCTCTCTGATGCCTCCTTTGCCGCCCACCCTGGCGGCTTCCGTGCCCTGGTGTCCCGCCTCTGTAGGACTGGGTCAGTCACGGTCACGTCCGTGACAAAGGTTTCACCCGATTCCTGGTCCTGGATTGCCAAATCTGCTCTCTTACGCAGCACCGGGGGGGAAAAGTTGGTGATTTCGTGGAAAGTCGAGAAACCAGCCTCCCTTGCCATCCTGAGTGCTGCATACACCAATGCGTTATATGTTCGAACCACATCCCCTCCGTCCGCACATCTAAGTAGGTGATTCGGGAGCGAGGTGTCGCTGATGTCCGAGTTTGTCCGCTTGCAAGGGCACTTTACTGTAACCGGCAGCTGCATGCCTAGACGGAAGCCCAACGCCATCGAGAGCTGACCAGGGGATAATGTAAGGTCAGCCCTCGTTGGCACAGCGTGCAGCCAATCTCCAGCCCCTATTCCCTGCAGGCCGATGGGTCTCACTGCGTGCCCGTTGTCTTTCCCCGGCCTGTCCATCATCGTGTCATCCACGAGCTCCCTCGCTCTTGTCTCCCAGATGTGCCTGGATAGAAGCAGTTGCAGGTTGCCAGCGCCTGGTGGGCGTTCTCTGTAGGCCTGCAGGGCCGCTCTCGCACTTGCAGGGAGCTCCTCTTCTAATGCCGTGAGCTGGTTGCTGTTTGGCGGCTCCGGGCTCCAAGTGTGAGAGAGCAGCGTTGCTGCCCGGCTCAGTAGGTGATCGTCCTCAATGTTCATCTGCTGCAGCAGTTGTTGCGCTGATGTGATTGAAGCAATGTGTGCTGCCGGCGCCTCCGAAGTTGGGTCCACAATTCCCAGCCCCCCAAGCCGTATTGGGAGTGTTGCCTGTCGCCAGAGCAAGCTCTGTTCGAGCTCACTCCTCGGCATCCGTAGTTTGGCCGAGGTGAGTGCTGCTTCCAGCAGGGTTTCGCTCCATCCCCTCCAGCTTTCTCTCGGCAGCGCCTGTGATGGTGTAGTGCGCAGCAGGTTGGACACCCTCCTGCTGATGCTTCGTGAGATGATGAGCAGGGCGTGCTGAGGGTGCATCTGGGCGACCAAGGGGAGTGGTGCAGAGGCGTCAGTGAGCTTTGCGACAACTTGGTTGGTGCAGAATTCCTCTGTACCGATGGGGCTGCCCAGCACCTGGATGCCTTCCCTGCTCAGCTCTAACCCCTCTGGAGGTGTGCCGTCCTGGGCTTCTATCCCGTTGGGTGTCCATGCTGAAGACTTCCCTATGTTGCATTTTAGCCCGCATGAAGCTAGCCCGCGGGTGATGGAGTCGAAGGCTAAGAACGCCGCCTCATGTGGGCCTACAATCGTAATATCGTCTGCGTAAGCAACAACCGCCACTTCCGGGAGGAGCGTGGCTGCAGTGAGTAGGGTAGGCTGGATGGCCGTGGCGAAGAGTAGCGGGCCCAGTGGGTCTCCTTGTCGCACCACCCTAGTGCTCGCTATGTGATCTGCCTCAAAGCGTGTGTCGACGAGCAGGCGGGAAGGTCCGTCATAGAGCGTGCGGACGAGGGGTATGAGCGGCTGCAGGTTAGACTGGGAGAGTGCAGTGAAGAACGCGGAACGTTCTACACTGTTGAAGGCATTCTCGATATCTAGCTACAGTGCGATGCGTTTGCTGTCGTCCTTCAGGAGCGATCTAACGGTGTGGATAACGCATTCGGCGCCGCCCGCGACTGCCACTCCGTATTGCACGGGCAGGAAAAATTCCCTTATGTTCGGCCCCAATTCGCGCAGCGCCGCTTTCGCCACTATTCGGAGTATGGTTTCGCCAATGGCTATAGGTCGTACCCCGCCTCCTGGTTTTTCTAGAGCGATGAGGCGTGATGGGAGTAGCATGTCGTGGATTTCCTGGGTCTGGAGTGTTCCAAGCAGGCGATTAACTACGCGCGTGAGTAGTATTAGGGCCTCCTCGTTTGTGTGGGCGGGATGCTTCAGGTGCTCGAAGCAGGTGCCTGATGGGCCTGCTCCCACTCCGTTCGGGCATTTCGCCAGCAGTTCGCGGAGGTCGTCCTGGCTGATGCTGATTGAAGCAGTGGCGTACCCCGTAACCACAGCAGGGGTTGAAGTTTCCGCCGTGGGATGTTTCGCTCGAAGGGCTGCGAGGGTCTCTGGCGATGTGTCGGCCAGTGGTGTTACGCGTAACGCTGCCATTGCTTTCGAAATATTTCCCTTTTTGATGAGCCCTTCTGCTCTAGCACAAATGCCCACATCGTCAGGCTGATGTCGTAGCGGTTCTCCTGTGTCGGGGATGACACATGCCTCGCTGTAGAGCGTGTCCCACCTGCCGAGCCTGAATTGGTGTAACCTGTTTTCGATTTCAACCCACCGACTCCCCTCCGCTGGCTCCGGCATGGGTCGGAGGGTCAGCCTCGGCAGGAACAGCAGCATTTTCCAACCTCCTGGGCAGTCGGGATATTTGGTTACTCTCACGAGCGGGGTCAGTAAGCATTGGATGTAGCTCTCCAGTAGCTTAGGTGGCATCCGTCGAACCAGGAAAGGCTGATTGCTCTGCTGGAGCTTTGCCGTGTCCCATGATGCCACCTGTTGCCAAAGTCCAGCGTCACCCGCCAAGTCGGATGGATGGCGCATGCTTGGCTCCGGCTGCGGTGCTGGTTCCGTGCCATCTACTGGTTCCCCAGTGTTGACTCTCCTGCCATTTCCAGCCCTCGCCCTGCCCCGCATGGGGAATCCCTCTTCGCTCTCCCCCTCGTCCTGTGAGAGGTCCTCAGAAGCCTGCTCGTTGTCAAGATTAAATTCACTCCCGCTGTCGTTGTTGTCAGCGCTCCCCTCCTCATTCGCCACCTCGTGCTCAATTTCCGGACGGTTGTGTCGCTCCCACCACGTCCCCGATCTAACCAGTGCAGGTTCGCCGCCCACGACGGGCCCTCTCCCCCTCTTCCTCCCCGTCCCCTGCATTGGTCTCCGCGCGCTCCTCCCCTGCCCGCACTATTGTTCCCTCCTCGCCCTCCGCGGATTGCGCCCGTTCGCCCCGCCGGCATCCACGGCGCTCGCCCGCAATCGTCCGTCCGCCGACCGGCGGTCCCCAGGCGATTCTGCCTCCTCTCGCGCGGCTTCGAGTCGCTCTGCCTTCCGTTTCTGGCTGGGCATCGTTTCCGGCTGCTGTTGCTCCAGCTTGTGGTTGTGGTCAAGTCGCCGTCTGTTCGCCTTGCGGTTCTTCCCCGCCTCCACCCCTCTCGGACTCCCTACCGGTCATACCCCCTGATGGTTGACGATGCTCTTGGGCTTGTGGCCTCTGCTCTTGCAGAAGCCATCCCCGGAGAGGCCCCGGGGGACCAGGTGCCAGGCCTGCTCCGAGCCTACGCGGTGCTGGCTGGACGCGGATCCTCTTCCCAGTCTTCCCGCGGCCGGCATGGTGGGCGTGGTCGGCGTGGTGGCTCGCACGAGCCGGTTTATCACTCCCCTCCTGGGCGCACTCATGCGTTTCTGCGTCCTCGACAGCGGCAGTCGTTCCGCCGCACTCGCCGCCAGCCCTTCCTTCCTCCGCCTCTCCCGCGTCCTCCGCGTTCGTTGGTGTCCGGGCCTTCTTCGGCGCCACCTCCTTCCCTTTCCCAGGCTCAGGCCCCGCCGTCGCAACCGTCACCGTCGCCGCTCCAGCCACAGTCTCCGCCTGTTCTTCAGGCGGCTCCTCGGCCGCCTTCTTCCCTGTTGCCGCCAGCTCCGTCTGCCCCCGCGGCTGTTCCGCCGGTTGCTTCGGCTCTGCCTCCCCTCCTCAGGGCGCGTTCCCCCAGTTGTTCCTTGGGGGGCGTGAGATTCCGATACCGTGGGAGGTGTTGTCGACTCCCCAGCCGACTGTCGCCCCTGCCGCCTCTGCTGCCGCCCTAGATGAGCGCTGGAGTCGGGGGGGAGAGTGCCCGCCTGCCGAGTGGCTTCGTCGCGTCGAGCGGCGCGTTGCGACCGTGGGGACTGTCCTAGAGCTGCTGGCGTCGGTGCTTGATCAGCTGCATTTAGGGCTGGTGCGTGGGCGTGTTGCTTGCCCGCCTTTGTTGAAGAGGGAGCGGGCCGTTGTGGTGACGGCGGCGTGGCGGATGATGGGGAGCTTCCCGCAGATGGGCCTCGAGACTGGCTCCCCCGGGGTGGGTTCTGGCCCTGGGCCTTCCGCCGTGAGGCGGTTGGCCTCTTCTGTCCGACGTGTCCCACTCGACCTTGTACCAGCCGCCTCAGCGCTGTTGCGCTGGTTGGACGGACGGCTTGCTTTGATCCTCGCCGATTAGGCTCTGCTTTCCCCTTCCCAGCCTTGGTGGGGCTTGGCCTGGGTTTGGGCTTCCCCATGCGCGTTGTGGTTACGCCAGGGGGTGTTGTGGTGGGTACTTGTGGTGGCGTTGCATGTTAAACGTTGTAATCTTTGCTGTTATAGTGCTTGGTCCCCCTCTCCTTGCCACCCCTAACGCGCGGCCGGAGGCCGCGCTGTCGAGCGCCGGCCGCCGAAGCGAGCCGCTGGGTTGGGGAGATGACTCACCAGCAACTAATGAGGATCAGATTGCAGATTGTGAGCTTAAGAAAGAACTTGTTCTCACTATAGGCCGTTCTGCTGACCTACACTAAATGAGGAAGTGGCCTAGCTGCTCCTACAACTAGGCTACACATAGGAGGAGAGAGGGCTGCTGCTGAGGTCTAAGGACTAGTCTCTCTCTCTCTCTCTCTCTCTCTCTCTCTCTCTCTCTCTCTCTCTCTCTCTCTCTCTCTCTCTCTCTCTCTCTCTCTCTCTCTCTCTCTCTCTCGAATGGTCCTTCGTATTAATCAGCAAGGCAGAACACACAGAGGTACTAAGCGTAAGCTAATCTAAACAAACAAACAAGACTCAACAAGCAACAAACAGGTAAGTACTACAACTTCTCCATCGCCTGCCCCTTCTCCCCACGACCCTATTGGCCGGTAGGGTCTTCCAGCAGTTGGTACAGCTGCTCCTCCCCTAGGCAGCCAAACGGTCCCTGCAGGCCGAGCTCGTCCGCGGCGAAGGCCTCGTGGGTCTTGTCGCGGGGGCATTGGCCTGTGCACCGTGTAGCCCGCCTCCGCCGCAATCCTTGCGCACTCATCACGAAGAGCATGGTGAGTGGCAATTCTCCCGCCGCCTTTCTCGCAACGCATTAGGTGGTTGGGGAGGCGGTGGTCCGGGAAGGTTGTGCGGTGACGGCAGTCGCAACGACGAGGGACAGGTAGGGGGAGGCCTAGCCGGAAGGAGGATGCGGTGGCGTGCTGCGGGGGGCCGAGGCGAAGAGCTGGGGTCAGGGGGATGGCCAGCAGCCAATCTCCTGCCCCGGGGCCGAGGAGTGATTGCAGGCGTTGGGTGTGGCCGAAGAGCGGGTTCAGAGGCATCTCCCGCGAGGCATCGAGCACCTCGATGTAGCGAGCGGTGTGAACGGCCAGCGACAAGGCCTGCTGTAGCTTCAGGCCATCTGTACCGCGCCGGCCGGCCTGTAGAGCCTCCAGCCCATCCGGGGGCAGCGTGGCCTCTGCCGCTGCAAGGCGCCGAGGCAGGACCGAGGGTGAGTCGGCGTTTGCATCCAGTAGCGGCAGCAGCTGGTCTATTGCGGGGTGCAAAATGTCACCGAACGAGCGCAGCAGGTGGGCGGAGGAGATGACCGAGGCTAGGTAAGCGAACACCCCTTCCGTTGCTGGATTGGTGATGCCGAGGCCGCCCAGTATCATGGGTAACGCGGCCTGCCGCCAGATTCTCCCCCGCTCCGCCTCATCCCGCGGTATCGCCGTGTGCGCCGCGGTCAGGTACGTGTGCAGCAGCTGCTCCCCCCACGCCGACCAAGTGTCTGCTGGCAGCACCTCCAGGGGCGTTGTCCTAACCAGGTACGAGGCGCGGCGGCTCACGCAGCGTGTCAGGAGGAGCAGGCTCAGCTGCGGATCCATTTGTGAGAGGAGCGGAAGTGGCTCTGCTGCTGCCGACAGGCGCTCCTGCACCAAGGCCGCGCATCCTGCCTGCGGCCCGATTGGGCTCCCCAAGACGCGGATCCCATCCGCCGAGAAAGGTACCTGCGCAGGGAGGGAGGCGGGGTCAGTGTGCGCGGCTGACCACGCCGCGCACTTCTCGGGGTTGTGTTCCAGGCCGAGGGATAGCAGGGCGGTGGTGAGGTGAGTGAAAGCCTCCGTGCACGCCTCAGCTTCCCCCAGGAGAGTAATGTCGTCAGCGTACGCGAGAAAGACGACTCCCGGATGTGCTTCCGCCGCAGCTACCAGGCAAGGGTGTATGCTAGCGGCGAAGAGAAGCGGGCCCAGCGGGTCCCCTTGACGTACGCCGCGCGCGGACTGCAGGGGGGGAGCGTGAAACTCGTGGTCGAGGTGCAGCGCCGAGGGGACGCCGTAGGTAAGCCGGACCAGGGGCACTAAGAATTCCAGGCTGGTTCCTTTCAGGCCATCGAACACCGCCGCTCGCTCGACCGCGTTAAAGGCGTTCGCTAGGTCAATCTGCAGCGCCACAGCCCCTGTATTCTCCTCCAGGTACGTTCTGGCGGTATGCACTGCTGCTTCAATGCCGCCAGCTATCGCCACGCCGAATTGGAGCGGAGCGAAGTGTTCACGTGCCTTCTCGGCCGCCAGGAATAATGCCGCTTTGGCGACAAGCCGTAGCAGGCACTCGCCCACCGCAATCGGCCGTGTACCCCCATGTGGCTTGGCGAATGCGAGCAGCCGTGATGCTGTGAGAAGTTCTGCCGCTTCAGAGCTAAGTTTACCGGCCAGCGCAGTGTTCGTAAGTGCGTGCAACTGTAGGAAAATGTCTGTGTTTCCTAAGGCAGCGTCCCTCAGGTGTTCAAAGGTGGTGCCTGAGGGGCCAGCGCCCACTCCATTCGGGCACTTGGCGAGGATGCGCCTGAAGTCGCGTGGATGGATTGTAGGGGTTGAGTCAGTGGTGAACTCCGGTACCCAGTCAGGGACGGCTTGGCGCGCATGAGGGTGTCTAGCTGAGAGGGCTTGGAGCACGTCCGTGGATGGGGGGGAGACTGGCGTGGCTGTTAGGGATTGGAGCGATTTCGCCAGGTTTCCTCGTTTGGCCAAACCCTCAGCCCTTGCCAGGATGCCTGTGGTGTCCGGCGCGTGGCGGGGCTGTGGGGGTTGGGATACTGCGTCAGCCGCCTCGTCATACAGGTTCCGCCAGAGGCCCTGGCGGAACTGAATTAACCTGGCGCCAACCTTCGACCAATCTGGGCGTTTGGCTGACGAAGTGCGCAATAGGATGCGCGGGAGGAACATTAACAGCCTCCACCCCGCAGGTGAGTCAGGGTCTTTGGCAAGGTGTAACAGTGGGGTGAGGAGGCAGGCAGCGAAAGAGTCGCGAAGTGTGCGAGGTGGGTGACGGGCGAGTGGAGGTTGCCTGCTGTCGCGAAGGGGGTTGAGGTCCCATGTTGCGACGTCGGCGAAAAGGTCCTGGCGTTTTGCCAGGTCGCCAGCACTGAACATTGGCTGGCGGGTGGGTAAGTCTGCGCCCTGCTGATTGGTTCGGGAAGGGGTGCCATCTGCAATTTGTGCGGCTCGGTTCCCCCCCCCGACTCGAATCTGTCTCCCAATTCGAACTGCAGATGCGCCTCGGCTATGTGTTGGGTTTTGAGCCAACTCCTCGTGCTGCTCTGCCTCTTCCACCTGAGGAGAGGGACTAGAACTCCCCTCTCTTTCAGGGTTAAAAAGTGGGTCACCCACAGAATTTTCATCACTCGATTCTTCTCCATCTCCAGCTCTCTCCCGCAGGATCCGGTGAGCGGCCCTCGCGAAGCTACTAGCCCTCCGTCGTTGAACTGAGACGCCTCCTCTGCGTCCGCCTCGTCTCCCACCTCTAGCCACGCGGATACCTCGCGGCGTCGTGCCTGCCTCTGCGTCGCGGCGTGCTGGCTGAGGCGCGGAGGTAGAACCACGGCCTCGTCTTTGGCGGCCTGCTGGCGTCCGTGGAATCGTGCTCCGGCGTAATGAACCTAGCCGCGGGTCGCGACTGCGCGCAGGAGAGTACTGCAGAGAGCGCACGGCTCGATCCGCCCCGTGCGCAGGGGCCTGCTGCTCCTCGTCCTCTTGCTGCAGCGCGCCCCTCCGCGTCTGAGCCTGTCCCCTGCCTGGAGCGCGGGCTGTCTCTTCCTCTGCGACATGTTCGGCAGCCTCATACGCCGGAGTACTCGTGGGTCCCCGCTCAGATTGCCTCAAACCGGTCTGCTGCTCAGCCGCGTCAGGAGCGCGGGCGTTCGCCGCCCCGGCAGCAGCCGCGGCAGCAATCTCCTCGCCGCCGGTCCCCAGAGCGTTGCGAAGATCAGCGGGACGGCGTTGACGATCAGCTGTCCCCTGCCGGCCATCGCTCTCCTCGCCGCCCATCTCCTCGTGGTCGGGCAGGCCAGCGCTCACCCCGAGCGCGATCCCCCGAGCCACGCTCTCCGCGGGGACCTCCGGCGACGCGGGGGAGGGGGTCGCCTGGGCGTCGCTGGGAATCGGGTCGCCGCGAGCAGACCCCCCCGCGTCCGCGCTCGGCAGGTTCCGCGGGCCGGCGGGGCCGGCGCAATGGCGGAGGGCGTGGCGGTAGTGGTCGCCAGCAGGATCCTGCCCTCGATCGCGCCGCGAACACGTTTGTGGAGGTGGTGCGGCAGGCCCAGGCAAGCGGGGGGCCGACTCACGTCCACATTGAGGTGACCAACGGTCCCCCCATCGCAGCGGACCCTGGCCAGGTTGCTCCCCTGCGTGCGCCGACCCTGCGTGATTATCTGCCAGCGCGTGAGCAGAGGGCTCAGTTCCGCACCCCTCGTCAGCTCCCCGGCTTCTCCGTGCCGCGATTATCCGTTGGCCGGACTCCTGGCTGGCCGACGGTGTTTCCGCGCGAAGCACAGACTGCACTTCCCCCCATTCGCGCGGGCACAGATCCCATGCTGACCCTGTGCCGGATTCTGAATCTGGCGGAGGCGTGTGAGGTGTTGGCGAACTTGCAGCTGGCGGTGTGTGCGGCCACGCAGAATTTTCCGAGCAGTTTCGGTCCAGGAACCCGAGGATCCTGCGTGACTTTGGCAGAATCGCTCGAGTCGCCGTTGGCACCCGTGTCGGATGCGCCCGCCGGGGTAGCTCCCTTAGCCCGTACTTTCCCCCGCCACGTGGGGGATCTTGTGGGGGCTGCTCAAGGCGGGACTCCCTTGGACACGCTCCAGTCAACGGCGCATCTCCTTCTTGCGGTATCGGCGTGCATGCGCTCGATGCTTGAAGTGGCGGGGGCCGAGCCGTACACGATGTAGGCTTTCGCCTAGCGTAGAACTGCATGCCGTCTTCCCTTGTGTTGAGCGCTGTGTGTTGTTTGTTTCTTTTCCAGAGTTGTTGCTTGCCACTCGAGAGCACGCGGCCGAAGGCCGCGCACGCGAGCGCTGGCGGCCGCAGGCCGCCGGCGCGAGCGCCAAAGAAAAACTGGCACCAAACGAACTAATGGCAGAGAAATGACCCCAAGGGCCCTATATATAGCTAGAGGGCAGAGGCAGAGGCTAGAGGCAGAGGCTAAGTCTCTCTCTCTCTCTCTCTCTCTCTCTCTCTCTCTCTCTCTCCTCTCCTCTCTCTCTCTCTCTCTCTCTCTCTCTCCTCTCTCTCTCCTCCTTCTCTCTCTCTCTCTCTCTCTCTCTCCTCTCTCTCTCCCTCTCTCTCCTCTCCTCTCTCTCTCTCTCTCTCGCTCTCTCTCTCTCTCTCTCTCTCTCTCCTCTCTCTCATCTCTCTCTCTCCTCTCTCTCTCTCTCTCTATGTAAATAGCATTTCCACAGCACTCTTGAAGTCAAACGGAGATGGAATACAAATGTTTGATGGAAATCACAACCCTTTGAGTCTATCAACCATTTGACTTGCAAGCGAGCAGCAACACAACCCACTCACCCACCCACCCATTCACTCATCCGCCCATTTGCATCTACTCAACATCAGTGATAACACAACACTGTAGCGGGCCTTGTTGGCCGCCACCTCATACATCGCCCCATTCACATTCAGCTGGGACAGCGTGTCAGAATGATCTAGCAGGAATGATGAACTACGAGGAAGTTTGGGTACAAATAGAAACCCTAACATTGGGTTGTACCCCATATGGGCTACCCCACTACAACCTACAGATTATACTACAGCATATATATATATATATATATATATATATATATATATATATATATATATATATATATATATATAAATATATATATATATATATATATATATATATATATATATAGTTTGACACACCCCCATAGGCAAAGTGGGGGAGAACAAGGGGTCACAAGACCAGTCAAGAAAAGCAAAGCAAGCTCAGGGTGGATCATAACGTCACCACACACACTGAGCACAAGCAAAGGGCCACAAGGCCAGTTCACATGCAGAGGTATATATGCAACAACAACAGTACAGTGATCACTACCTAGCAAGAGCAAGCATGCAGGTATATGTATATATAGATCACAGTACAAGCAAAGCCTACAGCAAGTGAGGAAACGTGGGCAGCACGCCTAGAGCAATGCAGAGGCACTGATGATCACCAGCCGGAAGGGCCTTGGTGAACACATCAGCTGTGTTGGCCCGGGTGGGCACGTGAACGACACGAAGCTGACCACACTGCTGCAACTCTCGAGCAAGGAAGTAACGTAGAGCGATGTGCTTCGTTTTGTGCTCCAGTCGGTGGTCCTGACACAAGGTAATGGCAGCCTTGTTGTCGACGTACAGAACTGGAGGAGAACGAGGCCTCTCTCCCAAGTCGGTTAGCAGGTAGGTGAGCCAGCGTAACTCCTGTGCAGCCATGGCTGTGGCGTAAATCTCAGCCTCACAACTGGAGCCGAGAACAGAAGACGAGCGTGTAGACCGCCAAGAAACAGAGCCGGAGCCAAGGCTGAAGGTGTAACCCTGTGATGACCGCTGCGTAGCCAGGTCATCAACCCAAGAAGCGTCAGAGTGCCCAGTGAGGACAACGTCACCCCGTCCTCCAAGCACAAGCCCCATGCCCGATGTACTGCACAAGTAGCGTAGTACCCTCTTAGCAGCATCCATGTGCACCTTTCGGTGCCTACCAGGAGCCATGTAGTGGGCCAGAAGGCCAAGAGGGTGCGCAAGTTCAGGCCCCCCTGAAGCCCCGAGTGCACCCCTGTCGCTGACTGAAGCCTCGTGCAACGTAACGAGCCTTGAAGGCAGGCGGAGAACCCGGCGGCCACTTCACCCTGAAAATCCACATGCCATCGACGATGTTCGCCCCAGGAGGGGGAACTGCGTTGACGTAAGTGCCTGTGGACTTCCAGGATGCCATCTCTGCGTCCATGGTTGTCTGCCACTGAGAGGAGTACTCACCCGCCATCGCCTTAGCGTAAGTGCGCGGGGTCGGGATGTCTGGTGCATCCGGGTCTCCCTCAGGGGCAAGCAGCATGGCCACGAGATGAGGTACAGCAGCCGCAAGACACTCAAGGTCCTCCTGCCTGTCCTCAAGGACGTCCGTGCCAAGTGCATACTCACCCCCAACAGACGGAGGACAGACAGACTCAGACTCAGCAACAAGACTAGCAGCGTAGTCTAGACAACAGGCAGCAGCAAAGTCAACAAGCTCAGCGACCAAGGCAGACGCAGCAGTAGACTCAAACGAAGGGTCAGTGACAACAGTGGTGAGCAGACGCGTGACAGTGGGGTGAGCAGCACGAACCCAATCAGACTCAGGGTCTGGAACGTCAGGCAGAGAAGACGCAGGAGGGGACGGCAGGGGAACACGCTGTGCTGAAGAGGAAGGACGAAGGGCCATGAGGTGCGTGCCGGGGACAGGAGGCGGACGCTCACGAGGAACACGACGACCAGTACGACCAGTTCAAACAGTGCGAACAGGCGAGACAGGACGAGACGCAGGCTCACGACGCTCAGCAAGACCTCCTGTCTGCTCAGTGTAAGGAGAAGGAGCAGGCAGTGGTGAGCCAGGCTGTAACGGAAGACCAGTAGAAGACGGGAGGCTAAGAACCTGGCGAAGCACGGAGTCAGGCGGTGGCAGAGACGACGGTGACGGCGGAGCGAAAAACAGTCGCGGCTGTGCAGTGCCACCAGCACCAGTAGCTCCAGCACCTCCAGCAGCTCCAGAACCTTTAGCTCCAGCGCCAGCACCTCCAGCAGCTCCAGAACCTCCAGCGCCAGCACCTCCAGTACCAGCGCCACCAGCAGCTCCAGAACCTCCAGCTCCAGCGCCTCCAGCACCAGTACCTCCAGCAGCTCCAGAACCTCCAGCGCCAGCACCTCCAGTACCAGCGCCACCAGCAGCAGCACCCCCAGAACCGGCACCTCCAACCCCAGGGTCTCCAACCCCAGGGTCAACAGCAGCACCTCCAGGTCCAGCAGTACCTCCAGCCCCAGCAGCTCCAGTACCTCCAGTACGAACACCTCTGGGACCAGAGGCTCCAGTAACTCTAGTAGACAGAGTACCGCCAGTCTCAACATGCTCAGACTCGGCACCCCCAGCTCTAGTGACGTCAGCAGAAGCGCCTCCAGTAGCAGAGTCACCAGCTCCAGTGCCTCCAACGCCAGCGCCTCCCGCAGCAGGGCCCCCAGCTCCAGCAGCGCGACCCTGACGGCTAACGTACCACTCACGCAGTTGCTGTGTGGAGAGAGGCACACGCCGATGAGAGTGCTGCGGCGAGGCACCAGCGGAGCGACTACGTAGGCGGCCGCTCCAAGGAGACTGCTCACCAGGCGCCTCAGTACCCCCAGGCGCAGCACCCCCAGACTCAGTACCCCCAGGCTCAGCACCCCCAGGCTCAGCACTCCCAGGCTCAGCACCTCCAGGCTCCGCACCCTTAGGCTCAGCACCCCCAGGCCCCTCACGCTCAGGCTAAGCACCTCCAGGCTCTCCAACCTCAGGCTCAGCATCCCCAGGCTCCGCACCCCCAGGCTCAGCACCCCCAGGCTCCGCACCCCCAGGCTCAGCACCCCCAGAAGCAGCACCCCGAGCAGGACCACCCCCAGCAGGACCAGAGTCACCAGTGACCTCAACAGGCTCAGTCAAGGGAGGAGGGTCTACCTGAGACACACCTGAAGGAGCAGGACCTGGAGGGGGGAGGAGGTCTACCTGGGGGGGACCTGGAGCGAGAGAGAGCGGCGGGGGGGGGGGGAGAGGGGCAGTGCGGTAGGGAAAGAGATGGTAAAAGGGGACCGACTCGTTAAAGGTAACGTCATGAGACGCAAAGACACGGCGCGAGGCGGGGTCGTAGAACTGCCAGCCAGGCGCGTCAGGGGGAAAGCCAAGGAAGACGTAGGGAATGGCGCGAGCGGAGGGCTTGTCCGCAATGGTGTCGCCGACAAAGGCACGAGCACCCCAGACCCGGAATCGCGACGCATCGCCAACCTCCCCCGTCCAACGTAGTGTGGGCGAAGTCTCCGGCACGGAGACACGTGTCGAAATCAACAGACAGGAATGATTGAACTAGCAGTGAAATCAGTACAAGTACCTAACCCTAGAATTGTGTACCCCCTATAGGCTAACCCACTGTAGCCTAAACAAACACAACATATATAATGTTTGACACACCCCCACAGGCAAAGTGGGGGAGAGCAAGGGGTCACAAGACCAGTCAAAGCAAAGCAAAACAAGCTCAGGGTGGATCTCAAGGATACCACACAAATTCCGAGCACAAGCAAGTGGTCACAAGACCAGTTCACATGCAGGTTGATAATATAACAAGAGATACAGTGATCACAACCTAGCAAGTGTAAACATGCAGGCATATATATAAAGATCACAGTACAAGCAAAGTCAAGAAGTAAGTAAGTGAGGTCCAGCAGGCACAAGGCCTAGAAGAGTACAGAAACGCTGATGGTCACAAGGCTGAAGCGCCTTGGTGAACACATCAGCAAGGTTGGCCTCAGTGGCCACGTAACGCAGACGAAGCTGACCACGCTGCTGCAGCTCTCGAGCAAGAAAGTACCGCAGAGCGATGTGCTTCGTTCTGTGCTCCAGTCTGTGCTCCTCACACAAGGCAATGGCAGCCTGGTTGTCGACGTACAGCACTGGAGGAGAACGAGGCCGCTCTCCCAAGTCGGTCAGCAGGTAGGTCAGCCAGCGTAGCTCCTGGGCAGCCATGGCTGTGGCGTAGATCTCAGCCTCACAACTGGAGCTGAGAACAGAAGAAGAGCGTGTAGAACGCCAAGAAACTGAGCCGGAGCCAAGGCTGAAGGTGTAACCCTGAGACGACCGCTGAGTAGCCTGGTCGTCCGCCCAAGAAGCGTCTGAGTGTCCAGTAAGTACAACTCGGTCTCGCCCTCCAAGCACTAGCCCCATGCCCGACGTACTGCACAAGTAGCGCAACACCCTCTTAGCGGCATCCATGTGCTCCTTCCTGTGACGGCCAGGAGCGACATAGCGTGCAAGGATGCTAAGAGGGTATGCAAGGTCAGGTCGAGTGCAGGTCATTAGGTACATGAGGCAGCCCACAAGCTCTGGATACGGGCCACTCGGCTCTACGGACTCATCCGAAGGCAGAGCTGAGAGCGAGTGACCGGTAGGCAGAGGAGTGGACTGAGGCGAGGAGTACGTGAAGCGGAAGCGCTGAAGGATCTGCTGCACCATGTGTGACTGAGTCAAGGTGATGGTGCGCCGTGCTCTGTCCCGGGTGATCCGCAAGCCAAGATAGCTTGTCAGTTCACCTAGGTCTGTGCACGTGTGTCTCCTCTGCAGCTCCGACTTCACGTGGGCGAGTGCCGCGGTGTCAGCAGTGGCAAAGACTAAGTCGTCGACGTACACGAGGATGTAGAACGGCGGCAGTGAGGTGTCTGTGCGTAGAAACAGTGACGGGTCAGCAGTAGAGGGAGCGAACCCAAGAGCCGCAAGTGTCGTCCTCAGTGTGTCGTGCCACTCACGCGGTGCCTGGCGGAGACCGTAGACCGGCCGCTGAAGCCTCCACTGGGTACCAGAAGGAACCGACCCAGTGAAGCCAGGAGGGCGGCGCAGCCAGATCTCCTCGTGCAGGCTGCCCTGCAAGAAAGCAGTGCTGAAGTCAAGTGAGTGAAGCTCGTAGTCGCGCTGAGCGGCTATGTGCAGCAGCACCCGAAGAGTGGTCATCTTCGGGGTGGGGGAGAAGGTCTGAAAGAAGTCAACTCCCTCTCGCTGACTGAAGCCTCGAGCCACGTAGCGCGCCTTGAAGACAGGAGGAGAACCCGGTGGCCGCTTCACCCTGAAAATCCACATGCCACTGACGATGTTCGCCCCAGGTGGGGGAACCTCGTCGACGTAGGTGCCTGTGGACTTCCAGGAAGCCATCTCTGCGTCCATGGCTGTCTGCCACTGAGAGGAGTAGGGACCCGCCATCGCCTCAGTGTAAGTGCGCGGGGTCGGGATGTCTGGTGCATCCGGGTCTCCCTCAGGGGCAACTAGCATGGACACGAGGTGGGGTAAAGCAGCAGCAAAGCACTGGAACTCCTCCTGTCTGTCCTCAAGGACGTCCGTGCCAAGAGCACACTCACCCCCGACGGACGGAGGACAGACAGACTCAGACTCAGACTCAGCAACAAGGCTAGTGGCGTAGTCTAGACGACACCGGGCAGCAAAGTCTATCAACTCAGCGACCAGAGCAGACGCAGCAGAGGACTCAAAGGTAGGGTCAGTGACAATAGTAGCGAGGAGACGGGTGACAGTGGGACTGGCAGCACGACGGGAGTCAGACTCCGGATCAGGAAGAGTAGGCAGAGAGGACGCAGGAGGAGACGGCAGCGGAACACGCTGAGGAGCAGTGGAGGGACGCAGAGTCATGTAGTGAGTGCCAGGGACAGGAGGAGGACGCTCACGTGGGACACGACGACCAGTGCGAGCAGTACGAACAGGCGACGCAGGACGAGACTCAGGCTCACGACGCTCTGTAAGACCTCCTGTGGGACCAGTGTAAGGAGAGGGACCAGGGAGAGGCGAGGCAGGCGGGAACTGTGACTGCGACTGGACAGGCGGAGGACACTCTACGGAGGGAGGAGGACAAGGAGGAGGAGCCTGACCAAGAACCTGCTGAAGAAGTGGTACGAAGTACGGTCGCGGCCGCGTAGCGTCTCCAGAACCAGCAGAGACACCAGCGGCAGGGTCCTCAGCACCAGCAGCAGCTCCAACGTCCGGGTCCTCAGCACCAGCAGCAGCTCCACCGCTCGGGTCCTCAGCACCAGCAGCAGCTCCACCGTCCGGGTCCTCAGCTCCAGCAGCAGCTCCAACGCCCGGGTCCTCAGCACCAGCAGCAGCGCCACCGCTCGGGTCCGCAGCACCAGCAGCAGCTCCAACGCCCGGGTCCTCAGCACCAGTAGCAGCGCCACCCCCAGGGTCCGCAGCACCAGGAGCACCACTCCGAAGACTGCAGCGCCGTGTGTACCACTCTCGGATCTTTTGAATGGGGGGGAGCTCCTGGGCAGGAGGGGAAGTACTGGTATGAGCTCTAGTAGCACCTCTCCTGCAGCTGCCGGGAGGAGAGGGCTCCTCCAGGTGTAGCACGCTCAGGCTCAGCACCCCCAGACTCAGCACCCCCAGACTCAGCACCCCCAGGCTCAGCACCCCCAGGCTCAGCACCTCCAGGCTCAGCACCCCCAGACTCAGCACCCCCAGGCTCAGCACCCCCAGGCTCCGCACCCCCAGGCTCCGCACCCCCAGGCTCCGCACCCCCAGGCTCCGCACCCCCAGGCTCCGCACCCCCAGGCTCAGTACCCTCAGACTCCTCACGGTCAGGCTCAGCACCCCCAGCAGGACGAGAGTCAACAGCTACCTCGACAGGCTCAACCGGGTCTACCTGGGACACACCTGAGGGAGCGGCACCCTGAGGGGGGAGGGGGTCTGGTACCTCAGCACCTGGAGCGAGGAAGAGAGGCGGGGGGGGGAGCGGGGCAGTGCGGTAGGGGAAGAGGCGGTAGTAGGGGACGGACTCGTCAAAAGTGACGTCCTGAGAGGCCAGGACACGACGCGAGGTGGCGTGGTAGAACTGCCAACCAGGCGCGTCCGGGACAAAGCCAAGGAAGACACAGGGGACAGCTCGACGGGAGAGCTTGTCCGCGGACGTATCGCGAACAAAAGCTCGAGATCCCCAGACCCGAAAACGCGACGCATCGCCAGCCTCTCCCGTCCAACGCAGTGTCGGAGAAGTCTCCGGCAAGGAGACACGGGGCCAGAGGTTGAGCTGATGCGCAGCGTATTGGACCGCAAACGGCCACAGAAAATGGGGAGCAGCCGCATGGATCATGGAGGTATGAGCGACCTCCATGACTAAGCCAATGCGGCGCTCAGCAACCCCATTCTGCTGTGGGGAGGCCGGAAGCGTGAACGACTGGAGGATGCCCTCCTCCTCACAGAAGGCTCGCGAGAGGTTGGAGGTGAACTCACCACCTCTGTCAGAGTGCAGACGCAGGACAGGAAAGTCCGAGTGGAATCGCTCGCGGAGCTCGAACAGCGCGGATCCAAGGGACCAAAACAGCAGAAACATCCCCCTTGCGCTGCAAGGGGAAGACCGTGGTGTAATGCGTGTAGTCGTCGACGACCAGCAGGAAGTACCGCTCGAGGCCCTGCCCTTGGACGCGGGCTAGGCCCCACACGTCCAGGTGGAGAGTTTGCAGTGGAGCCTCTGTCGAAGGGAACGAGGAGTGAGGAGCGGCGCGCTGCCGCCCCTCGACGCAAGGAATGCAGGGTGGCGCAGGCGAGGGAGGGAGGGAGGGCAGTGACCTGGGAAGACCGGAGACCAGGGAGCGAGAGTGACTCCGATGTGCAGTGACCTGGGAAGACCGGAGACCGAAGACCTGTGCAAGGCCTGAGCCGACGCAGTACCAGGGAGAGCAGACTCACTAGCACCTAGGGCTGCAGTCTCTATACCTGGGTCAGGCGGCATACACAAGTAGCAGTCACCCTCAGCACTAATAGTCAATGCATACATGGCAGCAAGAATTGCATCATAGTCAAGATCAAAGATAGGAACATCACGCCTAAGCAGGTCTGCCTAGGGGGGGAACTCAGTAGCCTCAGGAAACTTGTCGCACCAGGCGTCGCTAAGCCGAGAGAAGCAGCGGTACTCAATGTGAAACTTGCCGCATGGGTGACCAGCGCGGGGGCCTGTGCGAATGATATATGGGCAGCGACCAAGACCCCGAGACGCCCCACGCTGAGCGTACCAGTCATGAAGCTGCTGAGACGTGGGGGTCTGGAGCTGATACTGCTGCTGCTGCTGCTGCTGCTGCTGCTGCTGCCCCTGGCCACCACTGGAGCCCCCCTTCTGGCCGGTTCCACTCCAGCCCCCACCACCGCTGCCACCACCGCTCCCTCCTCCCCCACTACCGCCGCTGCCACCTCCACCGCTCGCGGTACCACCGCCGCCCCCACCACCACCTCC